GGCTTTTTCACTATGTGAATTGTCAAATGTTGGACTGGTTTCCCAGGGAGGCAGTAAAGTGCTCATTCTTGGAGATACTCAAGTACAACTGGTCATGTCCCTAAGCAATATTCGGTAGCTCACCATGCTCAGACATGGGGTTCTGAGCTGTGCAACATCTGGAATTTGACAATAGACAAGTGAATTGGATTTTCAGTAGAGATAAGCACAGTTTTTTCCATTTGTGTAAAGAAGAATATATATGAAGTTAATCGTATGGGAAATTTATGTTTTACAAACTCGATGTAGATTTTCAAGTGGTGTACAGAAACGTTGAAGGATTACCATATCTTGATGTCTGACTTTTCAGTATATGACTGAGAAAAGTGAGGTTGCAGTTTTGCAGTTTTGTCAGTCTATGAAACGAGTCTGATCATTCCCCAGAAGATAATGGAGGGAATTATTTTTTCAGTAAAAAGAGACTCTCTGAAATGGTTATGCAATGTGAAAATAAAAGGTAGAAAGGAGCTCTGGTAGCAACAGCAAAAACTATTTATTACAGGTTTCCAAAACATTGTTCCATAGACTGAGGCATTAGGATGATACATGAAGAATGGGATTGTTATTTGTCTAGTTATTTGCATGAGAACTCTAATTTTCCATATGAGCAATTCCATTAGCTATCCTAGAGAAGCTATGAGATTATTTTTTTTTTTTTTTTTTTGGTGCAAGGTGCAAAGGGAGTAATTCATGCTGGGCTTTTGTTCTTGGAAAATTAATGTTTGGTTTGACATTGGTAATAGGAAATTTCCTATCTTCCATGATGCTTTTTCAAAGTTTGGTTCAAGATACTAAGCCAAGACTCCTTTTTTCAGTTTAGCAAGAAATAGAGAAAGAAATACCAAAATGAAAATAATCGTCCTGACAGTCATAACTTAGGAGAGGGAGCATTGAAAATATTTAGCAATCCCTGTTCCCCGAGAAGTCATAATTATTCCACTGTTGGAAAATAGGCAGCAGCCGTTCTTTTCCCCTACCCCCCTGCCTCTCTTGGAAATACCATGAAGGGTCCTACAGTAATGGCACCTACTACCCCAAATACATGGTGAAGTTGAAAGGATGTATCTTTCTGTGTCTGTCACAGCAACCTTTGCCAGGCAAATATGCAGGATGTATGTTAGAGCTGTCCTCTTAACACGAGCAGCTGAAGGTTGACAGAAACAGTGTTGTCATGCAGGAAAGTGTTTTTCTGTGAAACTCCATCTTTTCACTTCTTTCATGTGTTGAATCAAATTTCATGGGTTAAGATACATGTGATTAAAATAGTTTATGAAGCCAGGATTTGGGTAGCATGATATTCTAACAAGATAATGCCCCAGTAAGGATCTTTGTGGTGCATTTTTGCTCCCACATTTTAAGTTCTTTCTCATGATGGTTGTTGACCTCTGTTAGAAGTGGACTATTGAACTCAAAAATACAATATTTTTATAAATTGCTCTATGAGACTTTGAAAATGGTTAGAGTATTGCATTAACATGAGGTAATACCAGGTCCTGCAGGGCATTGTTGGAATGACGGTACAGCCCAGCACAGGCAATCCAGGAGGTTCCTCGATTGTGTGGAAGAAAACTTCCTTCTGCAAGTAATAGAGGAGCCGACAAGGAGAGGTGCCATGCTTGACCTTGTGCTCACCAACAGGGAAGGGCTCGTTGGAAATGTGGCACTCCAGGGCAGCCTTGGATGCAGCGACCATGAGATGGTTGAATTTGAGATCCTTAGGACAGTGAGAAGAGCGTGCAGCAAGCTCACTGCCCTAGACTTCAAAAGAGCAGACTTTGGCCTCTTCAGGAACCTGCTTAGTAAGGTTCCATGGGATATAGCCATAGAGGGCAGGGGGGCTCAAGACTCTTGGTTGGTCTTCAAGGATCACCTGTTACAAGCTCAGGAGTGTTGCATCCCAGCTAGAAGAAAGTGCAGGAGGAGGCCCAGGAGACCTCCTTGGATGGATAAGGAGCTGCTGAGGAAAATTCAAATGAAAAAACAGTTTTATAGAAAGTGGAAGCAAGGACAGGCAGCCTGGGAAGAGTACAGGGATGTTGTCCGGGAAGCTAGGGACCAGGTTAGGAAAGCTAAGGCCCAGTTAGAATTAAATTTGGCTAGGGATATTAGGGATAACAGTAAGGGACTCTACAGGTACATAGCAAATAAAAAACAGATTTGGGAGAACGTAGGCCCCCTCAGGAAGCTCTCAGGTGAACTATCTACACAGGATTTGGAGAAGGCTGAGGTTCTGAATGACTTCTTTGCCTCAGTCTTCTCTAGCAAAGGCTCTGACCTCACCACCCAAGTCTTGGAAGACAGATGGAGGGACTGTGAGAATGAAGACCTTGGGCCCACTGTAGGAGAGGAATTGGTTCGAGACCATCTTAAAAATCTGAACGTGCACAAGTCCATGGGTCCTGATGAAATCCATCCGCAGGTGCTGAAGGAGCAGGCAAATGAAGTTGCTAAGCCCCTGGCCATAATATTTGAAAAATCATGGCAGTCAGATGAAGTTCCCGATGACTGGAAAAAGGGAAATATAACCCCCATTTTCAAGAAGGGGAAAATGGATGACCCGGGGAATTACAGACCAGTCCGTGTCACCCCTGTGCCTGGCAAAATCTTGGAGCAGATTCTCCTGGAAGGCATGCTAAGGCACATGAAAAACAACAAGGTGCTTGGTGACAGCCAGCATGGCTTCATTAAGAAGAAAACCTGCCTGACCAATTTGGTGGCCTTTTATGATGGGGCTACAGAACTGATGGACAGCAGTAGAGCAGTTGATGTCATCTACCTGGACTTGTGTAAAGCTTTCGACACTGTCCCACACGACATCCTTGTCTCTAAATTGGAGAGACATCAATTTGATAGGTGGACCACTCATGGATAAAGAACTGGCTAGATGGCAGCACGCGAAAAGTTGTGGTCAATGCCTCAATGTCCAGCTGGAGACCAGCAATGAGTGGTGCCGCTCAAGGATCGGTGTTGGGGCCGGTCTTGTTCAACATCTTTGTCACTGACATAGACAGTGGGATTGAGTTGCACCCTCAGCAAGTTTGCCAATGACACCAAGCTGTGTGGTTTGGTTGATACGCTGGAGGGAAGGAATGCCATCCAGAGGGTTCTTGACATGCTTGTGAGGTGGCCTGATGCCAACCTCATGAAGTTTAACCATGCCAAGTGCAAGGTCCTACACCTGGGTCGGAGCAGTCCCAGGCACAGCTACAGTCTGGGCAGAGAAGAGATTCAGAGCAGCCCTGTGGAGAAGGACTTGGGGGTGCTGGTCGATGAGAAAATGAACATGAGCCACCTTCAGTGTGCGCTTGCAGCCCAGAAAGCCAACTGTATCCTGGGCTGCATCAAAAGGAGCGTGATCGAAGGAGGTGATCCTGCCCCTCTACTCTGCTCTCGTGAGACCTCCCTTGCAGTATTGTGTGCAGTTCTGGTGTCCTCAGCCTACAAAGGACATGGAACTGTTGGAACAAATCCAAAGGAGGGTCTCGAGGATGATCAGGGGACTGGAGCACCTCCAATATGAAGATAGGCTGAGAAAGTTGGGGCTGTTCAGCCTGGAGAAGAGAAGGCTGTGTGGAGACCTCATAGCAGCCTTCGAGTATCTGAAGGGGGCATATAGGGATGCTGGGGATGGACTCTTCATTAGGGACTGTAGTGATAGGACAAGGGGTAATGGGTTAAAACTTAAACAGGGGAAGTTTAGATTGGATATAAGGGGGAAATTCTTTCCTGTTAGGGTGGTGAGGCACTGGAATAGGTTGTCCAGGGAGCTTGTGAATGCTCCATCCCTGGCAGTGTTCAAGGCCAGGTTGGACGAGGCCTTGGGTGATATGCTTTAGAGCAAGGTGTCCCTGCCCATGGCAGGGAGGTCAGAACTTGATAATCTTAAGGTCCTTTCCAGCCCTAAGTATTCTATGGTTCTATGATTCTATGATTGTCACTGAGTACTTTTACCTGAGTGCTTGGCTTTATCTGTTCTCTTCCACGTCTACACCTCTTAGCAGTGACCTCAGGTGATATGGTCACCAGTAAGTTCTCTCACACCTAGGAGAATACTACTATATTATTGCTAATTTACATGACAGTCTTGTGATGTAGTCTGTCTGAAATATAGATGCCTTTGCGGGAATGATTATTTGGCAGAGAGCTTCCAAAGAATTGGTGAGTGCAGACCTGGAGTGATCTTTTTCTGGTCCTTCATGTATCTGCTCATATAGACAGCTGTTGTTACGGTTCTATGGTCAGTGTGCTTTGTAAATGAGTAATTATGTCATACTAAGCCATATAGGGCAAAGGAAACTGTAGCAAGGATATATTGCAACTAGTATAAACTCTGCTGCTCTGACATGCTTAGCAAGTCAGGCACAGAATTTGGCCAAAGTACAAGAAAAAAAATGCTTTTATCTTCTGGAAAAAAAAAAAAATCCTGCCTAAACCTTTTTTGTAAGCATTTGGATTCTTTCAGTGTTTCTCCATCAGCTAAACAAATAATCCATTGGTATTCTCACCATTTATAGTTTGATCCATCAGGTTATGTTTCAGTCAGCAGTTAACATCTAGCAAAAAAAAAAGTGCTGTGATTAACAAAACATGAGTTACTTGAATATGTAAAAGAGAAAATGTTGCACATATGCAATTGCAATTTAGTGATCTTTATTTTCAGTTTGTGATGAAAATTAATTTTGAGAGAAATCTATCACAGTTGCTGATAACTATCTGATTTATGCATATGTTGCCTTACCAATGCAGCATCAAGCTGTAAAGAGAAATGTTTCTTTGGTCCATGTTTCATTTTCATAAAGGCTAACAGTCTCTTCTGTTAGCCCATTAGCAGGAGTATAAAACTTGAAACACACATGGTAATGAATCTCCTCCAATTACGGAGTTGTAAAAAGCATCTTACTGGTAATTTTAGTGTGATGGCTCACTCACTGATTTGAGAATCTATCCTTCTTTGTAAATAGAGCAGAGATTGCCTAAGGCTGGGCCCACCTGCAGAGGGAGAAGTTGTCCAAGTGAAATGGCCTGATGGAAAACTCTATGGTGCGAAGTATGTGGGAACAAACACAACTTACATGTATCAGGTGAGTGTCTATATTTATTATCATGTACTTCTTTTTCAGATGTCTTTATTGCAAATTGCTCACTCGGGTCTATCATTAGAGTGACCAACCACATCTTCAAAGCTGCAAAAAGCTGGAGTGTGACCTCTTATTGTAACTGCTAATGCATTTAAACTAATAAATAAAGCTACCTAAACCATTAACAAGTGCTGCTCTTTAGAAGTTGAGGTTTTACCTGTCCTTATAAAATTAAGAAAAAGGCTTATTTAATATGAACTCAGGTAAACAGGATGAATATTAAGATTAAAAAATAATGTTTGTTATGGTCTCTAGGTTATTTGCTTCTATTTGATGTCAGGTAATTATATAATAAATGATATAAAATTAAGTATTGGTGAGTGACTAAAATGAACCTTAAGCATTTGCTAAAAGGATGGGAAGGAGGATAGTAAAAACAGGTGCATAAGTAGCCTCACTTTTCATTTGTCTGAGGCACTTTTGAATTAATTAACAGAGAATGTAAGGGGCTTTTTGTCCCTAGCAAAGGCAAAAGGGAGCTGAGTGTTGAGAGCAAGGCTAAAAAGCTGACTTCTGATTTCAAAGACACAATAATTACTTTTTTTTATGTGCTTGCCTTTGAGAAAAATCAGTCAGCATCTTTGAGTACCCAAGTGAATGCTAGAAACTGCAATAAAACAATCAGAATAATAATGGCATTTCTGAAAGAATGAGAATCTAGGTACATTTCATTTATATATATTATCATTTTCATTTATGTAACTCTTTTCATCTAAGGGCCTCACATTACTCTACAAAAATAGCAAATTTACTATTATATCTGTAGACAGATTAAAGCACAGGGAAGCTAAATGACTTGCTGCATTGACCTTCTCACTTTGCCAATGACTTGCAATAGAGCTCAAATCCTCAAATGCCTGATCCCCTGAGCTAGTCTCTAAATCTTACCTCTTCTCTTATATTTAGCAGCTGTATTACATTGTGAAGGTGAAAAATTCTTTATAAAATAAAAATATTATTGTTCTATAGTAGCATTCTATAGTAACATTAATCTTCAAATCATTTAATCTTCTGAACAGCTGGTCTCCTGAGGAATACTATGAGGTAGATTAGAGGAATGTTGTCATCTTTCTTATTTGAAGGAATCTGACATAGTTGAAACAAGCTTTGTCCTATTTTAGACCTCTTGGACAACATAATGAAACCAGGTTAGTTGAAGGAAAATGGATAAGCATGCAGAGGTTCAGTAAAGTTTGGAGTTCGTCAGCATAACAGTCATGGGAGATTACTGTAAAAAGCCTTGTAACAAACCCTATCACAGGGGAAATAGCACAGGTTAAAGATTAAAGGGGGTCCAGATAGACTAGGTAGGATTTTGGAGACAAATAATTATTTCGATCTCTAGGATGGGAGGAAGGGTGCCATAACATGGCCACAGGTTACAGAAAGTCTGTGACATGGAGGGCATAAGGCTAACTTAGAATCATAGGATCATAGAATAGTTAGGGTTGGAAAGGACCTTAAGATCATCAAGTTCCAACCCCTCCTGCCATGGGCAGGGACATCTCCCACTAAATTATGTCACCCAAGGCTCTGTCCAACCTGGCCTTGAACACTGCCAGGGATGGAACATTCGCAACTTCTCTGGGCAACTCATTCCAGTGCCTCACCACTCTAACAGCAAAGAACTTCTTCCTTATATCTAACCTTTCCCTGTTTAAGTTTTAACCCATTACCCCTTGTCCTGTCAGTACAGTCCTAGCATCCTCGTATCCCCCTTCAGATACTGGAAGGCTGCTATGAGCCTTCTCCTCTCCAGGCTGAACAGCCCCAACTTTCACATCCGATCTTCATACAGGAGGTGCTCCAGTCCCCTGATCATCCTCGTGGCCCTCCTCTGGACTTGTTCCAACAGTTCCACATCCTTTTTATGTTGAGGACACCAGAACTGCACACAATACTCCAAGTGAGGTCTCACGAGAGCAGAAGAGGGGCAGGATCACCTCCTTCGATCTGCTGGTCACGCTCCTTTTGATGCAGCCAAGGATACGGTTGGCTTTCTGGGCTGCAAGCGCACACTGAAGCTGGCTCATGTTCATTTTCTCATCGACCAACACCCCCAAGTCCTTCTCCCCAGGGCTGCTCTGAATCTCTTCTCTGCCCAACCTGTAGCTGTGCCTGGGATTGCTCCAACCTTGCACTTGGCATGGTTAAACTTCATGAGGTTGGCATCAGGCCACCTCACAAGCGTGTCAAGGACCCTCTGGATGGCATTCCTTCCCTCCAGCGTATCAACCGAACCGCACAGCTTGGTGTCATTGGCAAACTTGCTGAGGGTGCAACTCAATCCCACTGTCTATGTCAGTGACAAAGATGTTGAACAAGACCGGCCCCAACACCGATCCTTGAGGGGCACCACTCATTGCTGGTCTCCAGCTGGACATTGAGGCATTGACCACAACTTTTCGTGTGCTGCCATCTAGCCAGTTCTTTATCCATGAGTGGTCCACCTATCAAATTGATGTCTCTCCAATTTAGAGACAAGGATGTCGTGTGGGACAGTGTCGAAAGCTTTACACAAATCCAGGTAGATGACATCAACTGCTCTACTGCTGTCCATCAGTTCTGTAGCCCCATCATAAAAGGCCACCAAATTGGTCAGGCAGGTTTTCTTCTTAATGAAGCCATGCTGGCTGTCACCAAGCACCTTGTTGTTTTTCATGTGCCTTAGCATGCCTTCCAGGAGAATCTGCTCCAAGATTTTGCCAGGCACAGAGGTGAGACTAACTCATCTGTAATTCCCTGGGTCATCCATTTTCCCTTTTTCCAGTCATCGGGAACTTCACCTGACTGCCATGATTTTTCAATTATGAAGGAGGAACTTCAGCACACATTGCTAGTTCTTCCTCCAGTCTTCCTACACAGCAAATCTGAAAGGTCCCAGTATTTGTGCGTACATATACTCAATTCTTCTGCCCTGTGAGATCTCTGTTTCACCTTTGAGATTCTCTTATGAAGCCTTTTGTGTGATCTTTTAGATGGCACAACAAAAGGAGAGACTGAAAAGGACTGTCTGAAATGAGTATTATGATCTAATAAGGCAAATCTTTTTTACTTGGATGAATCTGTGAATTTTCCTCATATTCACGAGACATTTGTATTGACTGCAACTGTACTAGTGCATGCAGGAGCTATGACACAATGCACCACAATTTTACCACCCAGGATCCTATACAATCCCTAAGCAGTGTTATACCTACCAAATGAAGCATATGTTTAAGTCAGATTGTTAATGTGATCTGTGTTTGATTTTTATTGTTTTTTTTTTATGTTGACATTCACTATAACTTTTTGAGTTTCATTTGAGATTCTTGAATAACCCATTCCCTTTATTAACTGCTTACTAATGTCAGCTGACCTTTTAATTTATGATGTCCTGAGAAAATCTCATGGAGATAACATACTACACAAACAAGGTGCAGCAGCAGAAGTCCAAATAAAATAACTTGCAGGGTAAAAATTGATGATTTGAAATATAGTATCTGGAGTCTGAATTAAATTGGAACTATTAGAGGTGGTAGGTTTATATTTTGCATGAATCATGATACTATTTGAAGTCTTAGAGGAGCTCTTAATGGTAGGCAATTAATTTCCAGTGTGGTATGCTGAATTATAGCTGAAGAACTTCTGGTTACTCTTCATTGTAAGTATTCAATATATTTCACAATGCAAGTATACCTGATTCTGTGGTATGAAGCAGTTACTCCTGCTGCACACTGAAAATAAAAATATTGCCCATTCAGGAGGTGATTTTCTGATCACATGGAGCTGGCAGAGTTCATTTCCTGCCTGGTTCTTTCACCAGTGATACAAAAACCATTTTTACCAACTGTAACATGCAAAAAACATATTACCAAATGTATTGTACAGTAAGGCAGGGGAATAGCAGAAAGACTGCTCCTGTATGCCTGGTGAGAAATACCTAAATTGTCATAATTTTATTAAACAAGCTTAAGCCAAATTGACCTTTAAATTCCTCTAGCATAGTGCTAACAGACTAGGCTTATGGAGTTAGTAAGAGGAGCAAAAACCAGCAAGTATGACTTTTGTGACTTTGTTATCCATCTGTGTTCTGTGGATTTGAAAGGCATTCCAGATTTGTGCTTCTATTAATTGCTGTTAAAAAATTGCTTTTAAAGAAGTTAATAATTCATAGATCTATACCCTGGCTTTTGAGAATAAATATACTACCTCAGATTTTTCATCTGTTAACAATTAATGTGACATACTCAGTTGTGGCAAAGTTTTAATTTGAACCTTCAAAACCCAGTGCATTTACAAGTTCAAATACATTTTTTTTTTCTGTTTTATCTATAATAATTCTTCCGATAAGTTGATATTTTCCTATGTTTGAATTTGGGCTTATTCTTCCCCCCCCAAGTCTGTTGTCATTCATGTGTTTTCATTAAGTCACCTGAGATTTGGAATGGGACTTCTTTTAGTTTTATACTGAACTTTATACTTAAGTACATTTTCTGTGGGAACTAAAACGGCAGTCATAGATAATAGCTGAAATTCACAATTGTTAGATGAAATATTAAAAAAGAAACAGCAGCAACTGAAAAGGTTTAAATGCTTCAAAACCCTAGCATTTTAACATTCTCCACACCTAGTTACATTTCCTTTCTCATTTTCTGCTAACAGGGTTCATATTGGATTAAATCTAAACCTAAGTGTGATAAAGCTTTTCATCTTCTGAACAGAGCATTTTAAAGAAATTCCATCAGATTCAATAGAATTCTGTTAACTGGTATTTCCTTAGTGTCACTCATACTTTATTTCTCGTGATACGGTCTTCCTCAACCTTGAATCACAGAATGTTAAAATTAATTATTTATTTGTTAGAAGCAAGTAAAAAAAAAATTAGAGGTGAGTAAAAATGACATGAAGACATTTCAATATGTCATTCCCACAAAATGGTGTCTGTATTGTTACTGCTCAGCATTCCTAATGTAGTAAATTTTACTTCGTTGTGTGTCAGTGATGATTTTGAAGTCTCTGTTTAGAAACCAGTTTCAACTTATGCATGTGTTGTATTTCCTAAGAAATAACTTTTTTTATGTTTTAACTTCAGCTTCCTGAAATAGATAGCAAAATATAAATCTTTTGTATTTGCACATATATTTTTGTCTGGAGACATTCCCAGAAACTTCTTGCAAGAGTTAAATTATGATTTTATATTCAAATACACATTTTTCCAATTAGGTTGAATTTGAAGATGGCTCTCAAATAGTAATGAAGAGAGAGGAGATCTATACACTAGATGAAGAGCTCCCTAAGAGAGTAAAAGCACGTTTTGTGAGTATTTGCTCATAGTATGTATATGTTTGAAATGCCAGTAACATTATTCTCTGCTATATTCTAGATTTTCAGTTTAAATTGGACAAATGTTTTGTGAAGCCTGTACTAACATGACTCTCTTAGTCAACACAACAATTAGCACAAGTGTCCATTTGCTAGTGGTTAGTTGTTCTTCTAGTACAGGCAAATGCTGTTGTCAGACATAATTCTTTTCTCCTAAAAGGGACATCTTGTTCGATCAGCTGTCAGAGCATGAATTATCACATTAGTAAATATTTAAATTGACAGACATTCTGTTCTTTCAGTATGCTTATAATGGGTATACTTTTTAAAAAACTTCCCAAGTTTTCAGAGCTTTTAAATGCAATGCTTTTAAAAGCCTTGAATTTAATAAAAATGCAATTAACTTGTTCTAAGAAACAAAGTGCCTGATCAGAACTCATCAGTGTCACTGGATTTTTTGTTTCCTGCAGTTTCAAAGAATATCCACAAGCTAGTCATTTGTATGCCTGCCATGTGGAAAAGTGTTGAGGTTCATAGAAGCAGAACACTTAAAGACTGGAAAGGGAAAGTTCTGTCATACAGTTGTTGGGGGAGACAGGAGAACTGCTGTCCTTGTCATTAATACTAAATGTTGTGCAATTCAATCCATTATCAAGCCTACTCAGAAGAGCAACATGTTCTTCTCATGTCCATGTTCTGTTTAGAGCTGTTTGTTCAAAACTGTGTTGCTTCACTGCAATGAAGCTTTGAAAGGGAGAGCAGTGTACAGTATATTTTTCATTGCTGCAGGGAGGTGGACTCATATACAATGCCTGTTCACACGTTCATTATGTGACATTAATTAGCTGATTCTTGAAAGCTGAGTGCAAGGAGCTGTAGGGGAATGATGTGCAGAGTTGATTCTGCAGGCGTCTGTCAGATTGTATGATGTAATACATAACATTACATACTGAGGTAGCTGAAGAAGGTTCCACGCTGACTTTCCCTTTCTGTGCTTCTTGCCGTGTGCAGCTGCAATCATTGTTATTATGAGAATTTCCTTTCATCCAGTTCTCAGCAGCCAATCCAAAAATAGATGCCTTATATTTCAGAATCTAGGAGTTTATCAAAGGAAAGAATTGGCATCATTTATGAAAGGGGGGATAAAGCTGGAGAAATGAGGCTGGCAGCCTGCTGAGGGTGTGTTTACTGACAGGATACCTTGTTTTACTGAAGTAACAGAATATGATTAGTACAGCTCTTTCTAATGGGAAGTGCAGTGTTCAGATATTCTTGGCTAAGATACCTTTTTGTCAGTGTATTTGGCATTAATGCACGTGTCTTTCAATGTCCTGACCATCTAAGGTTAAGATAGATGTCTTGGAAAGTGTTAAATAAACATCTGGTTGGTTATATTCAATTGGATTTCTCATTGTACTTGGAAAGTATTCCACTGACTTTTTTTTTTTTAGAGACTATGCGTAAAAAGCATTTATAATTATTTGCACATTCTGTAGAATGCAAACTTGCATTTCACTAAGGATAACAATACAAATATAGTTGGGTTTATGCTACCCTTTTTAAAATGGAGTTTTTATCAACATTATGTATTTTTTTTGCATTTGACACAATTGACTTCACTGGAGGATTAAGTACAGGTTAAAAACATTGAATTTGGTCAACTAAATGAAACAAGCCACAGCCTGTGCTCAGACCTTTACATGGTTTTCTACTATTGCCTCAAATTCTGTGAATATGGAGCTTAAACACCACCTCCTTCCCTCCTCATGCTGAAAACTGTGCAAGTTAAAGACAGCTTTGTGATACTGCTCCTATGTCTTGAAATAAATTATACCAATTCATTACAAATTATGTAATTCCCAGTACTGGGAATTTTATCATGACTCAGTAGTGGAAGTTGGTCCAGAAATTTCTGCTGCTGCTTTTTCCCAACTGGCTTGCTGTTTGCTGTCCTGCTGCTTGGTTTCAGTTGATTCCCAAATAGTTTAAGTTTGCTGACAGACAACCAAAATTGTGACTCTGATTCTTTGCAAATTAAGCAGTGTGAAAGTTTATTTTCAGAGATCTGTGCTGTATTACCTTGCATTTCAAACTTTTCTGAATAACTAGTGTTAGTCAGACGTTTCTATGGAACACTGCAGACCTGGAGAATTAGATGGTCAGTAGTACATGCAAAATACAGAAAAGTAAAAATTATGTTTTAAATCTACATTTAAAATATATATTTAATATTTTGGCATCTTCCTGAAAACGGTTGTAACTGCATAATAGCAGTCTAGCTAGCTTCATACAGTCTATCCAAATATATCTATGTTTCCATGTAACTTGTCAGAATATGATGGCCTATATTAAGCTGTATGTGTAATTTATGTCTGATTTTAGTCCACAGCCTCTGACATGAGATTTGAAGACACATTTTATGGATCAGACATTATCTTGGGAGAGAAGAAGAGGCAGAGAGTATTGAGTTCCCGCTTTAAGAATGAGTATGTGGATGATCCGGGATACCGCACTTTCTTAAAAAGCTCATTCCAGAAGGAATGCCAGAAGAGGCTATAAAGAAAGCAAGAGAGGGAGAGGGATGTTGATTACAAAGCATGCATCATTATTTGCAATTAGTTTCAGTTTAATTGAACACTGTTTTACAGTGACCTAATCTGTAGATCAACCTCATAAACTGAAGTTCTTGAGTTCTGATTTCTTCAGCTAATTTGTTAAAATTTCATAATGTTTTGGTTATGAAACTAAGGGGGAAGCCAAGTGAGAGTAAGAGGGATTACACACGGATATGCTGAAGAAAACGTTCACTCCTGTTTGCATTGAGATATGTAGTAAAATTCCTTTTGAACTGTGGGAGAAAATTCACATTCAAAAAAGGAGACATTTTAGTAAGCAGAGATAATATCGGTAGCAAATTTTTTTTCAGCAGGCAGGAAAGGATGTTAAGTTCGGTAACAGCAGTTTTCATGAAACATCTAAAACAAATATGAGTATGTACAGTATTAAGACACAAGCTGTACTTTGTACAGTGCTTTTATATGTTTATATCACTACTGCTTTCAGTAGGGTTTGATGCGGACACAGCTGTTGGTTTAGATATTTTTGCCATTTAAGGAAGATACCTTCAGCAAAGCAAGGGTGTTTTGTATATCTAAAGAGGGAGATTTTGGCAGTTATTTTTCAACATGTTTTTCATAAGATCTGTTAAAATAGCTATTTGTAAAATGCAAGTTTCTTTCATTTCGTGTTTGAAGAATTAGAATTTAAATCTTTATGCTTAACAGCCTAGTTTTGAATGAATATATTATGGTATTCATTTTAAATTAATGTTTTATCAATGTAGTAATGTTTTGAACTAAGCAAATAAATACTTTTACTTGCAGCATTTTGCCTGTTGATGTGATTTTCAATCCTATTATTTTATACTTACAGGAATCAAGGGACTTCACTATATGCAATATGCGTGTAGTTTCCTGAACACAGCAGAATATATACACACCCATAGGCTTAATGTTAAAAATGCAAACTTGATAAATACTGTGCTTTCATTTCCTGTCTATTTCCCTGCATTCTTTGGGATCTTGATCCTTTTGGATGTTTCACAGAAATCAGAAAGTCTGAATTTGTCTGAAAACTTGGGCATGTGAAACTAGAAGAATGCTTTATCAAAATGACATCATCTTTTTCTTGTAAATTGGACCGTCAGCAGGATTTCTGACTGCCTGCCACAGGAAAGAGAACCCTCTCAAAATCCAGTTTAAATCTGAGCATTGCTGTTTTGAGGTTCTACTTAAAAAAAAGAATATATGGACCCAGGGGATTTTTCTTGACAAACCCAGACCTCTATATGCTGAGGCACACAGATCTCTGGTTTCCTGTATCCACTGCATGTTTATTATTTTTGAAGTGGACAGTGAAATCTTTTAATTTACCATGTGACACCTCAATTGACAATTTATATTTTCTGTTACATTAAATATCTTTTCCTGCATCATGAAATTGCTCAGAATCCTTTTAGTCTAAGAAATTGCTTATCTTTGATAACTGGAATATATTTCTAATTGACAACACTTTCTCTAGAGTAGTATATTGTGGTGGGTACTGTCCGACATATTTCAGAATATCAGAACCCTTTCTGGTATTGTAAATCAAAAACATAACCTAATGAAACATATGCCATATGTAAGATTGCTGCTGCCTTCTAGAGGTAAATGCAGCTGATAACCTAACTACTGATGCTTACTTTCAAAGTACTTTTGTAGGGTAAGAGTGCTTTTATGATTCACCGTGAAGGTTCAAAACACCTGTGATGTTACTAGTTGGTTAAATACATACAAATATAATTTGTAATTAAATAGATGATGCTATGCAGTACTGCAGAGGCTAGAAATCAAATTACGTTCTTTGCCCAGTTCTGGTATGACCTGTTATCACACTGTGAATAAACTGCCTCATCTCTATAAAATGGATCCAGCAGTTTTCTCCAAGTTCCTTGAAATCTGATGATTAAAGTACTGCAAATATTTTTAAAAACACACGTGCAAAATCTGTCAGTTGGCTTGCTTCCCCGTCTGTCCTTCAGCAAAAAGAGCCCTCACTTTGGAAGTTCTGCAAGGCTCTGAAATTATTTCTGACCTTTATAAGGTGCTATAAAATACCTGATATGTAAATGAAAAGCATAGTCATTTTCATGGTGGCAGTTTCATGCCTCCTGTCTGAAGACCTCATGGCTTTTGCAAACTGGATTAGCTAAATAACTGGCCTAGAAAGAGCTTTTCTGTTCCTTTAGAACTCCTGAAAAGCCACAGTTTTCAGTTCCACATTGGTTTTGATATGGACCTTTCAGGTATGTGAGCGAGCAGATTCATATGCAGTGTGTGGTGTGCTGTGCTCTGAAGAAACCAGGAGCTTGCAACTATCTGAATCAGGTAGGTGGACTCCATCATTTGCTGTTTTTTGTTTGTATAGACAATTCTCAATAGCCAGATTCTTGCTTCAGTAAAACCTTTACATGTTATTTTGTCCTGATGTTAGGGCTGGATATGTCTTTTCTGATGGAAAAAGTGCTCTGGCATTCGTAACGATTTCCCTTACAGTGTCTGCATGAGGAAGAGTGAAGGGTTACTTTTAAAGACAGGCTAACTGAATTAGTAGTGGTTTTCCTGGAATAAAAATAAACGGAATTGAATGTCTGTAGCTAGAGAGTGGTGCATACCTCAGGACAGGAGGAGCCATGTTCTTTCTGTTATCTTATGCATACAGGAGGAAAGCAATTGTTCTGTATATTCAAAAATCCTGAAGGCTATAGGTGTGCTTGTGAGTGTACACACACAAAGTGGTAGCTTAATCAGGGTGCATTTTTGCCGCCACCTTTTTGTTTTTTCCCCCTGTATATTCTTACTGATCTAAAAAATATAAAGGAAGTATCTGAAGTACTTGAGTTTATGCTGGCTTGTGAAGTAGAATGCTTTAGCACTACAACTGTGATTTCCACAGCTATAGCTAAGGTCTGATAAAATCAAATTACTAGAATTAGATAAAAATTAGATTACTTCTCTTGAACCCTATTTGCTCGCGTATTACTGTAGCAAAGCAATTTTGTTGATGCTTAATAGGGGCTCTACAATATATTGTGCTGTGCTACAGCAGTTAAAAATTTTTAGTTAAGAAGGGTAATAGATAAAATCCCACAAAACTTTTGCTTTAAAGCTTGTTTATACTTGCCCTCTGTGATGTAAGTGAACAGCAATTTTTTGTAACGGGAAAGCTAATATGATAACCTGATAGTTATCAACAAGGGGCAGGATAAAGCTGCCCCTGTTTATGCAGTTCCACTCATTATGATTTTGTGAAATGTTTTCCAGTGTAAGAAACATAACAAAAATTTACTGGTAAACTAAATACTGCTTGAATTATCATCTAGGTAAATAACAAATAGTTGTATCTGCTACCTGTTCTGGTTGATTTAGCCATCTCTATTTAGTGCCACAATCACAACTCTTTAACTTCGATAAAAGATGAAGGCAAACTGATAATTTGGCTTGCTCTTATGAAATGCTGCCTTTTTGTAGTCTTTAAATTTTGTAATGGTATTTCTCTTTCTTGTTAACCAACCAAAGTATTTCATGCCCAGTGTTTAGTATTAGCAGGAGAGAAAGTTTATGTCTGGTGGGCAAGAGGAATCTTTCCTGCACATATGCACAAAAGGCATATCCATATTTCTTAAGAATTTTGGAACCATCTGATAAAATTGTCACACACCTTTGGACTTCGAAAGCCATCTCTGAAGCTTCTAGTCATGAATTCCAAATGCCTTAGACAGCATTCTTCTCTGACACATCTAGCAAAAAGAAGATGAGTGATGTTGTGGTAGGGCATAAAGGTTTTACTGGAGTTCATCTGAGCTGTTGTATATATTGTCTACTTGGTTATGGACTCGCTGTTACTATCAGGCTGAACTGTCCTGCAGCCATGCTGCTATGACATTTTGCTCAATACTTTAATGTATTTCCTCTATACCTAGATTTGTAGGCAGGGCTTGTAGCTGCCAAAACTTTCTTCTGGGAGAATCTGGTTTGAGTCACTGAAAACTTTGGCAATTCAGATACCTCACAATTTGAAAAAAAAATTATGTGTCAGTTTGTGCTTGGAAAAAGTCAGGGAACACCAAGCAGTTTTTACTGTAGAACAGGGACTTTCTGGTGGATGGGAAAGGGTGTTTCCAAGAATCAGGGAACAAACCCTATCAGAAATAGGTTTGTTAATATTTCAAGAGATGTGCAGTCATTTTGATTGAGCTATTACAAACTGACTGGTGTGTGAGGGGATCTCTGAGGTAATGTCTTGGAGGAGCCTGGACCACTTGCAGTGCTTGCCCCACCCTAGGGCCCTTCTGCAGTGACAGAGGCAACTGTGCATGTATTGTCACCACAGCCAGCTCAGCACTGACCTTGTCAGGCTTGCAGACTGGGAGGGTCTTTTCTTACTCAGTCTAGTTACTTAAATGGAGCACAGAGACAGGCTCTCTGATGTTCTCAATGCCCTGCTAATGTTGCTGCAGTAGCATAGAAAAGTGGGATTAAATAAAAGACTGACTTCAGTACAAAGGTGTAGAGTTGATGGCAGATAGGAAGGATTCAAGGAGGGGGGGAAGATTCAAGGAGGTGGAAGAGGAAGAAATATGGGGTCTACATTACAAAGAAGGGATTTGTTCACAGTCCCCTGCAGAACCCATGATGCCTGAAGCTCAAATTCCTTCTGGTATAAGCAAATGGCTGTGAAATGTACCAGCAAATTACAGGCTGGTTGCCTTTAGGAACAGCTATTCCTGATGCCAGCAACTGCATGAGCTCAAGGAACACTCACCTCTGTTCTCCCAAGAATTTGGTCCTGCTGTACAGATTGAAAGTCAGTTACGTTGGATGAGTTGAAATATATTTATTTTTCAGATTGGTCATTAAAAAGATCTGCATGTTTGTGTGCATTTAAATTGCTACACTAGAGTTAAGGTTGCAAAATTATACAGCCAATGCCAGAATTTTCCCAGAAGAAACATAATGCTTAAAGCTTCTTTATGTGTTCCTTACAGATCTAGTCATTAGAGAAACTGTGGGAAACAATCACCTTAATGGCTGTCTGGGATGTACAGGAGTTAAAGCAAGGAAGAACAGAGAAGAGGCACTGCATTCCCAAAGGGCATTTTTTGACATAGTGCTAACAGTTGATGGCAATGTCATGCTGCATTATCGAGGAGAAAAGGCTCAGAGAACAGTGTTACAGAACAAAATTATCTTTGAAAAGTTTCCATGTCTAAAAGTAGTTCACTGCAATTCACATCTCTCCCTTTCTCTGTGAGCTTTTGCAGTGGACATAAGTAATATGACCGTTACATCAGTCCAGTCCAGTCAACCAAAGCTGATTTGCATCACCCTGTTGTTTTCCTTTGAGCCCTATTAGGTCAGTGAAAGTAGGAACAGGAGAATTTTTATTTATTTATTTATTTATTATTTTAGTTCGAAAGAAGGAGCAGAAAACAAGGTATTATTTTTCCTTTTCCTATTGACTTACTGAAATAGAAATAAGATTTCTGCGCTGAATACCTCTTCTGTTCATTATTTAAGGTGTTAAGTCCTCTCAGAGGAATGGCTGGAACCTTTCTGTTCTCTACCTATACATTTTTGTAGCTCCCACTTCAGAGTCTCTCACCAGAAGGCAGAGTAAAATGAGCTAAAATTTTTCTTCCAACTCCATGTACAGAAGTAGGTTAAAGGACATCTTCCTGTCTTCCTTTGGCAATTGTGTGGAGCTAAGACACAAAGGGAAGCTG